CCGATATGCTTGATATCTCGGTGTCTGAAATTCGACATGCCAGTACAGAAGTCCCTTCGGTGACGACCACGGTGAGTGTTGCTGTCGTCTTGGGTGTTCTGCTTTGATAGCAGCTTGTGCTGAGTTATGGGGAGGGTTGACAAGAGAAGACACGGGTCTGAACCCATACTTCTGAGTATCTCCCGTCTTCAAGTCGATGATGCGTGGTTGATATAAACTCGATCCCACGTTCCCCGAACTCGGCCGAAGTATGCCATATTTACAATCAGTTGCGGGGTGACCACGCTGCTTGCAGCGCAAGCATACATGGGGCAGACTGCAAGCAGAACAGTCATCACCACGATTGTAGCTCTTGCATATCTCAGGGGGTTGGGTTTCCGCAAGGTTCGTCGGCGTGGAAGGGAGGCCAACTGCATTTTCGGGGAGGGCAGGAGCATTGGACAGCAGGACGAGTGCATTCGGATGTAGCTCCATGAATGTAAGCAGTGAGGATAAGGAATGGAGGATGACTTTATCGGAGGTATGCAACAGACACTATTAGGAATGATGCTTTTTTAAGTATGCACAGGCTACTATATCAGGACGGAGGTGGTGTTTAGTAGAACTGCTCCTTTTCAATATACAATCGAGATTAGTGCCAGGTGTAGAGAGGCAATTAAACACGACTGAGTCGTAGATGTGCTGAGATGCCCTCGATCAGCGCACTAGACCGCAAAGAGCTTGCTCTAAGTCGGCAGATCTTGTATTGGAAGCCTTACTTGCAATCTCCAATTGCAGAATCCAACCTGGTTCAAGCAAGGGATAGAGCTGGCCTTGCCAGATGAGGCACGAGAATGGAAGCGCTACCATGACGACGACCATTCTTGGGGTCCATGACGAGGAATGGCCGGTTGTTGACACAGAGATTGGACCCTTAATTCTCACAGTGGCCAAGGCGGTGGAATGAAATGAACAAATAAGAGATCAAGTCGAAGACTCAATTGATACTCATCTGACAGTGGGATTGATATAAAGCTGCGATGCTTTGAAGGTCATGTCTAGCAAGCCATGCAAGGGGCGGGGACCTATAGTTCGTCAATCTTCGTGAGGCCAAAGTCGCAAGGTACAAGTCACAGGTCGTCTGCTCCTTGAAATCAATCTTGATCGTCGTCGCCTCCTTCGACATGGAACTTCTTTCGGCCCGAACCTGTCAATCTCTGCAATGCAACCTTATCGGCTTGTTTACCGACTCTTTGCTGCATCCTCTCAATTTCTTGCTCAGGATCGACAGCGTCCTCAGCAGCAAAGTCTAAAACCAATTTTCTACCCAGTAAGTGCGTATCTCTCAATGCGTCAATTGCGTTTTCAGCTTCTCTGGCCGTGACGAAATCTGCAAAAGCAAACCCCCGCGTAGAGCTATCAAACTTCTTGGGTACTCGAACAGATCGCAGCTGGCCGTAAGATCCAAATAGTGATCGGACATCTTTTTTGGAAGCTTCAAACGGCAGATTTTTGATGATGATCTTGGTGTTTCTGGCCGCCATCTTCTTGGCCTGGTCTTCCTTCCTACGCTCTTCCGCCGCATCTATAGCCTTATGCGACGCTCTAATGAGGAGCTCGTAACTATCAAGCCTGTAACCGTCCATAGCTGCGAGAGCTGCTTGGGCATTACTCTTGGAACGAAATTCGAGGAATCCAAACCCCATGCTCAAAAGCTGCCCTGGCTTCTTCGGGTCGGGCTTGGTCTTCACCTTAGCCGACATGAAGCCCTCGAGAGGCTGAAAGACCTCACGCAAGCGTTCTGTAGTAGTCGAAAAGTTGAGATTACGGACGAAGAGTGTCGACGTATGGGCGGATCCAGGAGCATCCTTGCTTTCCAGCAATTCCGTCGAGGAAGGCTTCGCACCCTGAGACTTTGCAGATTCATCTACCCGGCTGTCTGGTAGGCCCTGCACATCTTGGAATAGATTTTTGGGCGCTTTCTCGAGAAATAATACGGAATCCTTAAACTTCCTATAAGCTAGACTGGCGAATGCTGATCGTGCATGATCAGACTGGTCATACTCCACAATAGCAATGGTGCCAGATGGCGGCATTAGTAATTTCTTTGTTTGGCCGTGAGCTTCGAAAAGCTTCTTCAGCTCTTCTGACTTTGTACCATAGGAAAAGTTTTTGACCAGGATTGCGGTATCCCCACGCTCTTTTTTCTTGAAGGCTTCTAGATCTACACCATGATTCGTGAAGTAAGATTTAGTCTCTTGTATAATATGGGTTTCAGCATGTGCTTGCTTGACTGCAGTGTCTGAGCAAGTTGGATCCAACAATTCGGATTTTGCTACGCCAAGTCGATCAGAGATCGATGACATGATAGCATTAGACTAGGAAAACACTCGTAAGCTTTACGAAAGAGGCTGTTCCGCCATTCTAGACTCACATTCATATACATTGAGTTCCAATTGAAGGTAGAAGAAGCCGCATCAGCTTTGCGCTTGATTTGTTGTTGTTTCTTTAGTGGCAGCTTTGAAATAGCAAATTCATCTAAAGCAGTCTCTCTCTTTGCGTTGCCTGGCATCAAATGCAGTAAACGGCCTTGGAAAGGTTTTCGGTCCAGGATATGAAGCGCCTTCGTAGCTGCTACCGGTTCTGTATACTGAACGTGGGCAAACCCCTTATTTTTGCCAGACCGTGAATCAATAGGAAGGTGCACCTAAACATCATCAGCACTCGAAAACAAACAAGCTCTGCCTGAGGGATAAGAGAAAATGCGGTTCGTTCTTCAGAATCAAGATGTATCTACTAAAATACTCTTCCTGGTAACATCACATGCATAGCATAAGCTGTCCCTATCTGGAGGTTCATCACAAGAACTCAATCAAACACAAAACATAGTCATATAGCCCTGGGCTTACCTCTTCAATAGTCCCGCGACCTCCGTTCTCAAAATGCTTCCGTAGGTCTTCCTCGGTAGTTGTGTACGTGAGGTTCCGCACAAATAGCCTTCCATTACCAGCGGCTTTATCGTCAAGTGCGGCTCCTTCGACCTCTAACCCCTCGTCGGTCTGGAAACTTGCACCTGATACACTTCCCTCTTTGACCAGCTCTGGAAACTCATATAGGCCTATCTTCTCTGTTGGAGCGTCCTCTGGCAGCACTGTAGGTTGCACGTCATCGTCGTCCACCAACCCGAGCAATCTGCTAGTCCGTGATCGAAGCCAGTCAGCGTCTGAGGCTGCTAACGATTTGGCCAATGGCTCCTGTGTAGCTTCTTGGGAGAGGTCACAATCACTTGGGACTGTCCTCGCATCCATGCTAGGCAATTCCACTGATGCTGGAGGCTCAGCAGGCATCACATTTTCGTCCTCACTTTTCCCTTTTTTCTTCCTTTTTTTTGGCACGTGGTCGTAAACCTCATCGCTTTGAGCTTCTCGTGTCACCGTATTTTCAGCTTTTGAACTAGGCCGTGCAGAGACTTGCGCCATTGCGGCATCTTGGTTTTCCCAAATTTTTGACCTGGAGGGCGGTTGCATCACTTCCAGGAATTCCCGCAGCTTGGGTTTGCCTCCATCTTCTGCTGGACCTTGACGTTTTCGCTTCTTTTTCTCAACGCTGTTAGTATCCGTTAGACTCTGCTCCTGAGATTCTGCGTGCTCTCTCTTGCTACTGTTGGCGGAATTGATGCCTGGTCCCAGGGCATACTGATCTTTGACCGAACGAGCGAGCTCGACGCCAATCTTTGACATACGGACGAAGGATTTGTTGTGATATTTGACTGCTTTTGCAGCATCTTCAGGCGTCTTATAACCCACATATCCAATGCGCCTATGAGGTATGAATTTTGCATCTGTGATTGCAGACTGCTTCGAGAAGTGCCGCTTGAAGTCATCAGCACTCAGATTTGGGGGGAGACCCTTGACAAATATTCTCGAAGACTCCATCGCTTGCAGATGTTGAAGATTGCGCACTTCTAGAGTCCCGATAACCATCATCATCTTTCCTGAGCGCGCTGGTTTGGCTCGGTAATTTTACGCGGAGCTAAGAAACGGAACTACCCGAACAGAAGTCAGCCCTATCAGAATCGTTCTCAGGACGCATCTAGCACTTTGGGCGACAAAGCATCTCTCCGTTTCATACAGCGCTTAGCCGAAGCACCATATTTACCCTGTCCAAACGCGAAGTTTGCGTTCTGCAAAGAATAGAAGTCACTTATAGGCCTGCTCGAAAGCTTGGACTCACAGAGTGCTCGACAACAGTCGTGATGGCAACTGAGAAGAAGGAGAAGCTTGACGGTACCTACCCTTTTCTCTTCCTTCTGCTAGGTCTGCCAAACCTTTGTAGCACCTACTGACATCCTTCCAGCGCAGGTCAAATCTGCCGATATGGTGATTACAGCCCCATTCCTCGAAAGCGGTAGCGACACTCACGACTTCCTAGAGCGAGGAAATGCAGCGACAAGCCGTGGAGGTAGCCGAGGAGGCCATGTCTAAATTTCAAGTCGAAAAGGACATTGCACAATACATTAAGAAGGAGGTACGTGGACATACAGGCCGTCTTTTACAGTGGAAGATACCGGAGCTGTATTTGAGCACGAAGCCTGACAATAAGTGTATCAGTTCGACTCTCGCGCAGGGGCTACATGGCATTGCATCGTTGGAAGGAATTTTGGAAGCTTCGTCACACACGGTACGCTCCTGCAAAATGCATACGGATGATCCGTACGCTGACAGCGACATAGAAACGAAGCACTTCATCTACTTTTATCTTGGACATTGCGCAATTCTGCTTTTCAAGACTCAATGATTTTGGAGGCTGGTGGGCAAGAAGCGACACTCGACTACGGAAAAGCTGGGATCTGAGCTGAATAAGATGCCACTGCGTGGAGTTTGGAATCTGCATATGACTCAATGGAGACTTACTATCTGCGCATAACAAAATGCAAATACATGGCGTGAACGAAGAGTGCGTATAATTATCAAGACCGTGACATTCGTTAACCATCAATTTTTTTCTTCCCCACCGAAAGATCATTCTTTTTTCTCCATCGCGACTTCGCGCACCTTGTCGCTCTCTTCCCTAGGCGATGTCGACCCGTCGCTCCCTTCCATGGCCCTTCCTCTGATACTCGCCCCACCCTTCCCGCTCAAGTCTCGTACAATACCCTTGAATGTGTTGGCCATGCTGTGCCTTCCTTCCCAAAGCGGGAACAGTCCTACACAGAACGAGCTGCAGAATAGCCACAATATACCCACGGAAACCCAACCGGTGAAGAACTTTTTGCTGAAGATATATCCAGTACCGTACAAGGGCATGGGCCACAAGATGAGTAGCGCAAGGGTCAAGATCCCGGTCATGCTCTTAGCAATGAGGGATGCCCGTTGAAGCTTCTTTTGTTCCGATTCAAAGTCAGCCGCTGACATGCCGGTAACACCTGGAATCTCCTCCAGGTCTGTATGCGCCGCAGCTGCAATGTCCTCGTCATTGCCCAGACGAATCGCAGCCATCGATTTGTAATCGTAGTTCTGGGGACCGAAAGCATAGGTCAAAATTGGGATGAAGACAAGGGGCGACAACAGGGCGACGACGTTTCCGGCCAGCATGGGATTATTGCTACCGGTGCTCGTAACAGACAGGTTGCCAAACTCCTTTTTGGCAGTCACAAGCCAAGCTTCGGTATTGTGTTAGTTGACTGGTCTTCTGGAGTCGAGATGTGGCAATCGGACGCACCAATAAGGGAGCAAGTAAGGCCCAATATGGGGGAGAGAGTCGCGGCGAAAACATTCTGCTTTTTCCACATCAACGTCAAAACTGCTGGAAGTACAGCAGACGATATAATAACGCCCTGTCTTGCCGTTAGAGACTTTGACACAATTATCGCAAAATGATCAACTACCATCATCAGGTATAGGTAACCCATGGAAATGCCGATATCTGCACAGTAATCAGTGGGTATCTGCCGGTAGACTGCTATGGATACTAACAGTAAAGCCCGGTTGAAAATGCTGCCAGTAGAATGGCATACACGATCACAAAAGAATGAGCCATGTTAATCAACATCTTGCCAGAAGCCCTAGGGTTAAAATATGTTTGGTAGATATCATAAGTAAATATGCTGCTGACAGCGATGTATTCAGAAGAGGAGGCTGATGTGACAGCTATGAGGGTTTTGGAGTCAGCATCTTCCCTTCCGAGCAGAACACCGAGCGATGAGACAATTCAAAAGGGTATTAAGGGCTTTTTTGCTCTCAGAAAATATCTTGCAACGCGCAAAGGAGTCCGTGAGAGGAAGAAAGCGCTCCGAGAATGTACTTGCCCATAAAGATCAGGAGCAGCGTTGCAGCCGCGCCACCCTTTCCCAAAAGAGCAACAGCAGCACTTTCAAAGTTCGGAATCAGCAGTCGTTCTTTGCACGAAATTGAGGCATGTAATATAATGGAGAAGTACTAGTACTCGCTGAATATGTCTTACGACACGCAAGGCCGTACGCATCTGGGGAGAAAACACTTACTAGGGGAGGACCAAGCCCGCGGTAACATCTTCATCCGCCATTCGTGAAGGAAATGTTGGGAAGACTGGGTTAGATTCCAGAGCAAGCGCCGAGAGGCCCATCGTGGTCGCCGCAAGCCATGGAATAGCGAACCAACTGAGGCCGCCCATCACGTAACCGGGAAGGGCATGAACAGGACTCGCCGCGATGGCTTTGTTGTAGTAGCCTTTTATGGATCGTCAGGAAAGTACCTTGGGATGACCTGTATTCATGGAAGGATCCCAAGCACGTACCGTTGTCCATGAATACCGTGCCAAAATTTCCCACGAGATTTATCACGAAGAAAATGGCTCCTTCTTGTGACCGCATTGTCAGGTAGCTACCCTGGGCGTTGCCGGCAACTGGGTGGTCCCTCGCAGCCGTCACCAAGAGGTCGTAAACTTTAGCGGGACTTCCAAGATTGGCATCGGTGGTGTACGCTATATGAATGTGAACAGATCTTCACAAAATTAGTTCCGCAACAACAGTTACCTGTGAATGCCTAGACATCGAGGTCAGTAAATCTTGTACTGAGTCAGAACTTCCCGGGTGCAAGGACTCACGAAGATAAAAATGATGATCAAAATCATGACCGTATGAACGTAATCTGTAAGAAAAGTCGCTTTGATTCCTCCTGCAATCGTGTACAGAACAACCCCAATCGGTAAAAGAAAACAGGCTGCTGCGGTCGGCATGCCTGTAAGGGCGGTTACGACAGCAGAGCCTCCTGTTAGCAGTATAGCGGTCACCTTCAGCCGCTCGTTAGCCTTGGACTTCAGGTCGGCATAATTGTCTTGACGAACCAGAACATTGGTCATCAAACCAAAGACGGTGAAGACTAAGTGAGCATACACTCCATACCGAGCTCGAATAACCTCAAGGAAGGTATGAGCATTAGGTGCCTTCCTTTTCAACTCGATTGCCAAAGTCGCGAACAACAGGATCTGCACAGTAGCACCCGATGCATACCAGAAGGGTCCAGAGACTCCATAACGGTAGGCCACTCCAGAGGACTGGAGCAATGTGGCAGCCCAGGTCCAAGAAGAGACAACTGCACTTGCAACGAGACCTGATTTAACGGTTCTTCCAGCCGTGCTGAACATCTCCGAGGTCTGAACCTCCGCCTGGTACCTCTTGAGGACATAAGTGGTGGTTATCATGCCGAGGGCAAAAGCAAAGCCCAGGCCCAGTACGATGCCATAGCCGAAGCCTGTACTGAGAGGAGGCGTTATTGGCATGATGAACGGGACAAAGCTGTGTGGTATTCGACGTGTCAAGGTTTAGAGCAAAGATTGGAATCAACTGGGAAACCCAGTCGCTGCATATAAAAGCTTCCGACGGATGTCGAGCTCTGCAACCGACATGAAGAGTCGGTTAAGATGGTAAAAGACTTTCAAGAAGTGGACGGCAGCAGTGAAGAATAGAAAAGAGCACGAGAGCAAAGGCAATATATATATGAAGATTGATCTACGTCTTACGGTACATACTCACCCCTTCCTTCGACTTGGACATCGAGATAAGAATGAGGCCGAAACTTTCCTCCTAAAGGCAAGAGCATGCTGAAGCTTCAAGCATGCCCAAAACGCCAGATGCATCTTCCATGCATAGAGCCACGAAGCATGAAAAAGATTGGTCGAGGTTTTCGATTGAAGAACAATTAGCTTATCTTGCCAATGGCTGATAAGGAGGATCTGCTTCGATTCCTGTGTCACGAGGCAGATGATCGCCTACTCCAGCGTTGCTTGTCTTGGCATTTCGGCCTTACTTTTTGCTCTACCTTATCGTTTTCTTCTTTCTTTTTTTTCCCCATCTTCATTTCGGTACTTGTAGAGTAGACTGTTAACCTTCTACTGTATTCCATTGGGACTTCACGGGGGTGCGTATCGCTGTAGCGATCTACGATGTCAAAGCGACGCTTGGCCGTAGCTGCTATCGAACGTACCTCAGGACTTCATGGGGTGATCTTTGCATTACGCCACTAGGGCAATACCGTTACTAGTCACCAGCACTGCGTAGAAGGACCACCCCGTTGCTGGTGGCCTGCTCTACTTCTAGGTACTGACAAATCAGTGCATATCAACTCTTATCCGAGTGTATGCAGAACTTTCGGTATTTAGTTCAAAGTATTTAGTTCAAATATTAAGATAGAATACAAATTGAGTAGTAACAGGCAGTGGTTATCTGCATCGAACAGCGAACATCCTATCCAAGGTTGCCAAAAAAACCATCACTGCATTCATTCATGACATCGTTGAGTAAAGTCCAGCATCGAAATATTATACAGCCTCAATGTCTTGCAAGGGTAGGTACCCATCATCCATCTTACCCCGGACTCCGAAAATGCGGGTTGTCAAGCCTTCAACCCACCTCATGCCAAATCGATCTGTCAATCCTCTGTCATTCGTCATGCTCATTCCCTTCAACGACTCGCTCTTCTGGCCTTCCGCCTCAAGTTTCTCCACGGTCATCCATCCAGGCCTCTTCCAGAATTTCAGGAGTAGACTGCTGCCTACTACACTGACGCTGCTAGCGGCCATCGCGGCACCCGCAGCCATAGGGGGCATCATGATATGACCAGGCAGCACCAGCCCGACACCCATCGCAAAGGGTAGTCCAATCAAGTTGTACAGACACGCCCACATCAGATTCAGCTTGATGCGGTTGAATATCGTACGAGAAAGACTCAAGGAAGCTGTGACACTGAGCATGTCTTCTGGGCGCATGAGCACGATGTCAGCCGCTTCCATAGCGACGTCCGTGCCTGAGCTTAAAGCAATGCCAATGTTGGCTGTCGCAAGAGCAGGCGAGTCATTGATCCCGTCACCCACCATGGCAACAACTGTACCTTGCTCTTGAATTTTTTGGATGATCTTCTGCTTCTGATCGGGAGAGACGCCAGCATGGATGTTGACCTTCGGAATGCCAACCCGAGTAGCGACAGCGGCAGCAGTAGAGTATTGGTCTCCAGTAACAAGGGAACTCGTAATGTTCATGCGATTCAGGGCTATTATCGTGGCGGCTGCGCTCGGCTTAATCGTGTCGGAAAGGGAAAGAACGCCTGCGTAGGCATTGTCGATGGCAACATATATCTGGGTGGTACCTGACGGTGGTGCTTTGGAGGTTCCAGGATCGGAGTTTGTTGGGGAGGTGGCGACAACATCAGCAGGCAAGATGATGCCTCGAGAACTGAGGTAGGACGAGTTGCCCACGTGTACTCCATAACGTTTTGGAATAGCGGAGGTGGCCGGTTCGACGACGGCGCAAATACCTTTGCCAACAGTTGCTTCAAAGTCTCCGACACTGCCATCAATCATGCCTTCGCTTCCTATGTTCAACTCCAGCTTCGCGGTGTCGAGGATGGCCCTGCCAATAGGATGTTCGCTCCCCATTTCCGCCAAGCCAACTAATGACCACCACAGCTTTCGCCGCCAGTCGTTTGCTTCCCAGATCTGCTCAAGCTGGACTTCTGGAATGCTCATCTTCCCCATAGTCAGAGTTCCTGTTTTATCGAAAACGACGTGGGTGACTTTGGTAGCTATCTCGAGAGCAGCACCTCCTTTGACCAAAATTCCTTGCTCCGCCCCAATTCCTGTACCCACCATGACGGCCGTCGGAGTGCTAAGACCAAGGGCACAAGGACACGCAAAGACGATCACAGAGATACAAAGCTTAAGACAGACCATAAACTTGCCACCGCTCTCAGGTTTGAGGAAAACTTCTGGACATGCGGATGGTGGCAGCACATGACTCAGGACCATCCAGGAGATGAAGGTCAATAATCCAAGAGTGATGATTGTGGGAACAAAGTAGCCCGCAACGATATCAGCCATACGCTGGATTGGCGCACGACTGGTTTGGGCCTCCTGGACTAGCTTGACAATTTGACTCAACTGCGTGTCCCGGCCTGCTCGGGTTACTCGAAAGTCAATCCGACCCGCTCCATTGACAGTTCCTGCCATGAGATCGCTCCCCGGCCTTTTCAAGATCTCGACGGCTTCACCAGTAACCATGCTTTCATCGAGATAGCTTTGACCCCGAGTGACTGTGCCATCAGCTGGGACTTGGCCGCCAGGACGCAAGACCACGATGTCCCCAACTTCGATCAACTCTGTGGGAATGATCTTTTCCTCAGCTGCATTGCTAGATTGATCGTGAGGAATCGGACCCTTCTTCTCTGCAAGACCACTGGGTGCAGCAGCATCCCAGTCTTCTGCCGCCTTCTCTGCAGCGATAGGATCCGCGTAGATCGTAGCCATTGAAGGTGCTAAAGACATCAATCTTGAAAGCGCTTTTGAAGTTTGGCCCTTTGCTCGATTTTCTAGATAACGGCCCAGAGTGATGAACGTTATGAGCATGGTACTCGTCTCAAACACTGTGCTGGGACGGGTGTGTGGAGGAATCAAGACAGACACAATCATTGCTGCGATGCTGAAAAAAAAAGCGGCGGAAGTGCCTAAAGTGACAAGTACATCCATGGTTGGCGAACCGTGCTTCAAAGATTTGTAGGAAGAGATGTAGAAGCGTTTGCCAATCCCAAATTGAACAGGTATAGTGAGAATAAGGCAAATGACGTCGCCAACGTATAGCCCGGGTATCCAGAGCAGTATTGAGCCAAAGTCCAGTCGCGGAATGATCATAGGTATGAACATACTTATCAGGAAGACCGGAATAGCGAAAGAAAGCGAGTACCAGAAAGCCCGCCGCCATTCTTGTATTTCGCGGGTCTTTGCTAATGACTCAAGCTGTGCATTGTTGTCATCAGCGTCTGCTAGAAGCGCATTGTATCCTAATTTCTCTATAGCCTCCACCAGTACTCGAAGACCGGTCAAGGAAGGATTGTGAGTCACATTGACTCGGGACGTCGCAAGATGCACCACAGCGGAAGAGACACCAGGAAGTAGACGTAAGGCATCTTCAAGAGCAGTGGCAGAGGACGAAGTGGGAAGACCATAAACCTTTAAGTGCACGTTCCGCGTCGCTGTCGATTGCCCTGCCGAGCCACGTTGTGAGGATAAAAGCTTAGCATCGAAACCTCGATCTTCAATAATCTCCGTAATCTGCTTAGGTGAAAGCTTCGCTGAATCGTGAACTACTACAGCCCGTTCAGCTAAGAGACTGATGTTGAATTGCACCAGCCCTTCCACGTCCTTGAAGCCCCCTTCGACAGCTGAAGTGCATGCACCGCAGGTCATACCCTCGATCGCTAACTTGGTTATGGTTAAATCGACTTGCGACTCGTTCGATGTTTGGTGTTGGGTCTCTTGGATTGACAGTGATGGTGAAAGCTGGGTCTTCAGAACCTCGGCGCCAAAACCTCTATCTTCGATTATTCCCGCGATCGCCTGGGGTGTAATAATGGAAGAATCGTGTTCGACGACGGCGCGTTCCGAAAGAAGCGATATGCTCATTGATTTGATGCCTGGGACATTCTTGAAACCACCGTCAACAGCTGAGGTACAGGCACCACAAGTCATACCCTCGACTGCCAGCGTCGTAGTGGATAGACTAGCCGTATTGTGCCCCGTAGCAACGTTGCCGTCGCTAGGTGCCTCCTCTTTTCCGGAGAAATTGGGAATGTCGGTGGCAAGCACCTCGGCATCAAATCCTCGATCCTCGATCATCTCTCGCACCTTTTCTGGAGACAGTACCTGCGGGTTGTGCTGAACCACCGCTCTTTCCATGACCAAGCTTACAGAGACGTTGCCGGCGCCATCAATGTTTTTGAAGGCGCTCTCCACCGCGGACGTACATGCGCCACACGTCATTCCTTCCACGCGTAATGTTGTAGTCGCCATGTGTGTAGCCGAAGCCATGGTGAAGGCCACAGTAGCTAGAGAATCGCAATGAAAGATCGGCTCAACGGTCGGCGGTTAACTGTCAGCCTCGAGGGCTCGAGGGCGATCTAGAGAGGGTTGGCGGTCTGGAATACTTAGAGGGCATAATGAAAGGGCAAAAGAAGCAGGAGAAAGGAGAAGAAACATGATGGAGGTACGGCTGATATATACAAAGGAACAGCAGGGCATAATGGAGACGGATGCGGTCTTTGTCAGATCACGCTTGTTGATTGTTCTATGACCGAGCTAGCGCCGGACTCCTTTACTCTATTCCCGCTAGTCCGTGCCATGACTTTGACCGAAGACAACGTCATTCAAGTTCTTGAATTACACATTTGTTCTGTGCTGTGCAGCACTAGCAAATGAAGGTACCTTATCCCTGCCTCGATACTCAAAGAGATATC